ATGGATGGTAACAGAATAAATAAATAATAAGAAATTTAAAAAAAAAAGGAATCTGGGGAGGAAAGGATTTATAGACTCACTTACCCCAATCACAGTTCATATTTGAGGTAAGTCAAGAAACCGGGAAAGGAACCTGGAGGCAGGCGCCATTTATGGTTAGGAAAGGTAAATGGATGGTAACAGAATAAATAAATAATAAGAAATTTAAAAAAAAAGGAATCTGGGGAGGAAAGGATTTATAGACTCACTTACCCCAATCACAGTTCATATTTGAGGTAAGTCAAGAAACCGGGAAAGGAACCTGGAGGCAGGAGCCAAAGCGCAGACCATAGAGGACACTGCTTACTTGCATCTCCTCCAGCCTGTGCTCAATGTGCTTTCTTAAACAACTCAGGGCGACCTACCCAGGGGTGGAAGCACACACAGTGGGCTAGGCCCTCTGACATCACTCAACAGTCAAGATATGCCCACAGGCCAGTCCGATGGAGGAAATGTCTCAACTGAGGTTCCCTCCTCCCAGGTGTGTCAAGCTGACAAATAAAGCTATTCAGCACATTTCTTCATAGTCAAGCCAGCTTACACTGGTGAGCTGTTAATTAGGCAACTTCCCAGCAGTACATTCTCTTATAACACAGTGACTCACTGGCCCAGGTCATAGTTATATCAACTGCTTTGCCGGAGTCACAGGGCAGGCAAGCCCACAAATCTCAGATAGTCAAACCACACTCTAGACTTATATGAGCAAAGAGCCAGAAGTATTTCCATCCACTGACCTTGAATAAGTCTTAACTTTGTGTGCTGCTAGTTTCTGTCAACTTGATGCAAACTAGAAATACCTGGAAAGAAGGAATCTCAATTGAGGAATCGAACTGTGGCCATGTCTGTGAGGCATTTTCTTTTCGTTTTTTAACTGAATTTTTGTGATTTTCATACAATATATTTTAGCAGTACTTTGATCTCTCCCCCATCCTCACCTCCTGTTACTGCCCCTTCCCACTTAAATGTACTCTATTAATATACATAATAAGGCTTATAGAGTCTAAATTGTGTCCCTAGATATCCTTCAGTGTGGTTCTGTCCATTGGAGCCTTGTTACATCCTTGAGAGACTGACTCTCCCCTTCCCAGCAGCCATCAGTTATCAGTAGTTCCTCAGGTGGAGTTGGGGTTTCTTACCAACTTCCCCACATCTATGCTGGGAATTTTGTCTGGTTTGAGCTAACATGGAACTTGTGTATGCTGTCATACACATGCCATACATTGCTGTGAGTTCATAATAAGTAACAGACCAGCTCTGGAAAATTATAATTCCTGGTGGTCATCCACCCACCACACCTGGTTCTTAAAATCTTTCCACCCCCTCTTCTTCAGTGATCCTTGAGCCTTGGGTGATGGAAGCTTAACATAGTTGTCCTATTCTGGGATAAGCACTCTGTAGGTGAGACATTTTCTTAATTGCCAATTGATGTGGGAGGGCTCAGCCCATGGTGGATGATGTCATCCATGGCAGTTGGACCTGGTCTTTATACGCAAGGTAGCTAAACAAGCCAGGGAAGCAAGCCAGTATGCAGCATTCCACCATGGTCTCTGCTTCAGATTCTACCTCCAGGTTCCTGCCTTTACTTCCCTCAGTGATGGACTATGACATGGAAGTGGAAGTGAAATAAACCCTACCAGCAGTTAGTTTTGGTCAGTGTTTTATCAGAGTAACAGATAAGCAAACTATAACACGCTGCTCATCTTTTTTCTTTCCTTTATAAAATAAAAGGAATTAAAAATTATTTCTACATCTCTAAAGCATTGCTCATGATTGTGATTGTTAACTTTAATTATCAACTTGACACAAACTAGAATCACCTGGAGAGGGAGTCTCGGTGACTAGATTAGGTTGACTTCAGGCATGTTTGTGAGGGATTTTGTTAACTGGATTAGTTGAGGTGGGAAGACCTACCCTGAGTGTGGGAGGCACCATTTGTGGGCAGTGTCCTGGACTAGGTATTTGTAGAGAGTGAGCTGAGCATGAGTGAACACGCATTAATTTATTCTTTCTTTGCTCTGGAGTATGGTGTGATATGACCAGCTGCCTCAGCCTTTTGCTGCTGTGACTGGCCCACAATGATGACCTATAACTTGGACTTGTAAGATAAAATGAACTCTTTGCTAAGTTGCTTTTTATCAGAGTGTTTTATCATAGCAACAGAAACAAAATTAAGGCAATAGTTATTTGTATTAATCATAAATTGTTGACAAGAAGACAAGCTTCAGACAGGGACCACACTTTGATTAAGAAGTCTTAGCCTCAATTTAAATCAGTATTTCTTTAGTATTTCTTTAACAGCTTTGCATGTACTAGAAGTCATTTGCAGTGAGAACATCTGTTCCAGGAGGTCCAAGAGATATACTGGATGATATGATAATAAAGAACAGCCTACTTCAGATAAAAGATATTTGTACATAAATAAGCATGTGCAGATAATTCCTGGAGAGAAGCTATGACTACACAGGCTGATTGACATATTAGAATTTCAATGATGTAGAGTGGTTAGAATGTTGCAAATCCAGAGCCCAATAAGCTTGAGTTATCTTTCTTTCCCTTAATAGCCATTTATTGTCTTTCTCTGTATGACCTAAAATCTTCATAACTTTTATGTAACAGAACTCTAGTTTCAACCAACCAAAAGGCTAAGAATACCATCATGTAGCTCAGAGGACTAGGGCAAGACTTCCATGCTTTCCTGAAACCTGCATACCTGATTTTTCTACAAATGCATTTCAAAAATGTTTTCTTTTATGACTTTCCTTGTACTGTTCCTGTAAAAGTTCATTGAACTTTTATCACATTGGGACATGAGATTTAGGGAAACCTGAATGTATGTTCCCAGGCCATTGCCACCCATATTTAGCTCCAGAGTAAAACATCTTATCTCCTTTGAGGTGAAAGTTGTGTTTTTGTTTTGACCAGAATTAGGGAGGAGTTAAGGCACATTCAACATGAATTTGTGTGTGTGTGTGTGTGTGTGTGTGTGTGTGTTGTACATGTGTGTAGGTTCATGTGTGTACATATGTGTGTGGAGGCCAGAATCTCCTAAGAGATGCCTTCATCAGTTGCTTCCCACTTTATTTATTGAGGCAGCTACTCCTTGAACATGGAGTTTGCCAATTCTACCTAGTCTAGCTGTCCAGTTTCCCAGGGGATTCATATCTCTGCCTCCAAAACACTGGGATTATAGGTGGTCCACCATGCCAACTGAGAGTTTACATGGGTATTAGTGATCCAAACTCCAGTCCTCATGCTTAGGCATCAAGACCTTCATGTACTGAGCCATCTCCACAACCCTCAACATGTGTTTGTTTTTTTTTTTTTCCTCTCAAAAGGAAAGTCTACACTACTTGGTAAGAAGGAGAGGTGAGATTTCTTCAAACAGGCTGAATTTCTACTGAGAATAAGCTATGGCAGATTTGACACCTGTAAAAGCAGGTATGCAGAATGGAAATTAGAAAGTGTATATGAGATGCAAAAATAATAGGTCCTTTGCCAGCCAAAAATAAAAGACATTTTTCTAAGGTCCTGTTGAAAACTTTCAAAGTGAGTAGACATTTTAATGCTAAACAGCTCAGCTCTTAAGCCCTTTTGATGAATTTAGTTTCACATTTGGGAATATTGGCAGATGTGAATATTCATGCAGGCATTTTTCATTTTAGTTAAGCAAGGAACATTCTAGACTCAAATAAAGCTCCCATCTCCACCAAAAACCTTATTGGATTTTATGAAGCCGAGGACACAGAAAAAGAGCCATTGCTTGCTAGAATTTGTGTTAAGAGACCCATTATGTTATTATACTATTTGGGAATAAATTATAAATGTGCTACATTAATGTACTGAAAACTCAATATGAGAAGGAGAAATTGCAAGGAAAATAGGAAAATACATATATGTCTCTAATGTGGGCAAATTTTTAAAAGTAAGTAACCAACAAGAGAGAAAAATTCCAATCCAGGTATAGTTCCCCAGCCTTCCCTTATGACTAAGCCTGAGGGACAAGACCAAGAGAGTGGGGTTGACATGTGATACTGCCTTTTTCTTGCCGTATTGAAAATGAGCCCAGGCTTTCCTGTGTCTTCATTGTCTTGTGTTGATGGCCTCTGAGAAGCCAACCTGTGCAGGGAAGTGAGTTCACACCACCTACCTGTACAGCTGCCTCCCTCTGGAAGAAAACTCTGTGCTCAGAAAGTATCTGTTGGGAAAAAAAGCAGCACAAACATTAGAGGTAGATCTATTTCTGTCAACCCGAGTTTTCAAATCAACTTCCTAACACATCCAAAGGCGGGCAAGAGGTTTTTATTATATATTCATGGATATTTGCTCCATCTGGGAAATAAATCTGTTTTGCTTTATAAAATAATCACCCTGTTTCATAATCTCTTTTAAATGTCTTAAGAATATGTGGTAGGGCCTGGTTCTATGTACAGTGTCTGTGAACAAAGTACGACGATTTTTAAGATTTTTAAATTTTATTTATGTCTATGTGTGTGACTCTGAATATATGTGCACATGGGTGTACGTGCCCTAAGAGGCCAGATGAGGGTTTTAGACCTCTTGGAGCAAGGCCCTTGGGAGCTGCCTGAACTCAGGTCCTCTGATAGAGTAGCAAGTACGTTTAACCACCACTGAGCCAATTCTCTAGCCTCAAAAGCACACTTTTAAAAGAAAAGGTTGTTTTTTTTTTTTATTTTCGTGGATGGTTTGTTTGAATGAAGGCTGTGGTAGATAACATAATTCTTTAATAATAGAAAAGATTACAATTGACAATGTTGAAAGCTAGACCAAGGAAGAGAAGCTGAAATTTAAAAAAAAAGAAAAAAAAAACCTCACATTTTTTGAGTGATTTCATCATATGCCAAGATCTTAATCACTTCCCAACTTCCTGATGTCAGATGCCGCACGATAATTTGCTCACTTTTACTCTGTGAAAAATAAAATGGAAAATATTGATTTCTCATCTTTCCTTAAACAGCACCACTCTGGTCAACAAAAAAATACTAACTGCTTTTCCCACATGTAATTCTTTGTCAACTAACATTCAATTTCCTGTGCTAAAATAAAAAATTCACACATGTTCCTATGAAGAGACCATGGGAGGATATACTTTTATCCTTCTGCTGTAGGAAGGAAAACAATTCAGGAAGGGCCAGGAGGCCACACAGCTGTAAGCTGTCCTGAGCATAACACTTCATACCGACATAAGACATCTGTATGTCTCACTGAAATAAAAATTAGCTGAGCATTTGTGAAAATTCGCAGCAGACATTTCAAAAGAAAGTTTGCTGCAAACTAGCAATGTTATTTTGATTCTTAAGATTGTCTTACATGTACTACTATGAGGTTTGCTGCTTTCACTCAATATTTTTTCAGAGATAAATCTATACTGTTATTTAGAAGCATAGTTGATTTGCAGCACCCTTGTGGTAATTTGTGTGTATGGGGGGGTGTGCATGTGTGTGAGCAGGTGCATGTATATGCATGTATGTGTGGAGGTCAGAATATAAGCTCTGGTGTTTTTCCTCAGTCACTGTCTATTTATTTATTTATTTATTTGTTTATTTATTTATAGAGTCAGTGACCAAGTACTTATTCATCTGTAGGTGGGGTTGGCTGGCCAGCATGCCTCAGGGATCTGTCTGTCTTTGTCTTTCTAGAGCTTATAAACTCATAGTATCACACCTGGCTGTTTTTTCTAAGACAGGGTCTTTTTTCTCTGTAGCCCTGGGTACCATAGACCTTTCTATGTATACCAGTATGGCCTCAAACTCAAAGAGATCTGCCTGCATCTACCTCCTGGTTTGTTGATATGAGGCATCTGGGTATGACACTTAGTTCCTCATTCTTGCAAGGTATGATTCGAATGAATGAGGAATTCCCTTTCATTGGGCTCCAAATATTTGAACACTTTGTCCACAGTTGGTGGCGCTGTTTTAGGAGGTTTATGGAATGTGGCCTTGCTGGAAGAAACATATCATTGGGGAGAAGGCTTTGAAAGTATAAAGTCACAGTCCATTTCCAGTTTCAGTCTTTCTGTTTCCTATGCCTGCTTGAAGATATGAGCGATCAGCTTTTTGCCCACTGTAATGGATACTTATCCATCTGGAACTGTAAGCCAAATAAACTCTTTCTATAAGTTTTCTTGGTCATAGTGCTTTATCACGGCAACAGAAAATAACTGTCGGTTATTAAACAGAAAGTCAACCACTTTCCTGACTAAGCTATCCCTGCATTGAAAGAATATAATTGATATAAATATTTGAATTGCTTCCAAATGTTCATTCTTCAAAACCAATTCTATATTTTCCAGTGGATTTATCAGTCTCACTTTTGATACTTTTTCACCTTTATTATTTATTATGTTAAATTTACAGTGTACTCATTTGTGGAGTATTGGGTGTTGTTTTGAAACACACATGCATCGTGTAGTATTCGAACCAGTATTCTACCTCCTCATTTATCACTGACTTGTAGTAATTATTCATACTCACGGGGTACAGGATTTTTGCATATGTATGAGTACACCATGTGTGTGTTTGGGCATGCAGTTTTGTGCATATGCAAGTGAAGTCTAGAAATTGATGTTGGGAATTATCCTTAATCACTCTCTACCATATTCATTGGGGCAATTCTCTCAGTCAACCCCAGAGCTCCCAGATATGGCTAGTCTGGCCAGTTAGTCTGATCTGGGGATCCTTGGCTTTGCCTTCTGAGGGTGGGGGCTGCCTATGTGAGTTTCTAGAGATCCAAGGTACTGACCTGCTGAGCCCCTGACCCAGATGAGCATCATTTCTGATGTTTCCATATAGGTAAGGCACAGATGCTGAGCAAAGCCCTAGGGATGGGGCTGCTTAGTTATAGGATACACATGTGCTAAGAAATAGTGACATAGTGACAATTTCTTTTGTTTTTGTTTCGAATCAAGGTTTCTCTGTGTAGCAAAGGCTGGACTCAAACCTGATTTTCTGCTGTCTCAGCCTTCTGAGAGTGAATGCTAGAATTACAGGCAACCACACATGATTGGCATTCGTTTTTCCCAACACTGTCCCAGTTTAGAATTTGATGGCAATATGAGCTTCCCTGGCTCTTTATCTGTCGTTATGTCTTATCAGCAGTTATTTTTGACTGATTCCTTGTTTTCTGTCAAACTGATTGTGCCCTACTTTTTAATTATTTAGATAACATTTGAGAAAATTAAAGAAATACTCATAAAATCTTCAATTCACAAAGTGACAATATTTTAAGTGTTTGTGTTCCTTTTGTTTTTGTTGATGAATCATTTGAAAGAAATATGGAAGTAACAGGATATTGGAATCTAAAAGCGCTGGCATATATTTTTTCAAGGATAAAAAAGATTTTTCCATATCATCAAATCACAGTAATGAAAATGACATTAACATTACCTAAATATATAGCCTATACTGTCATATAACTTTTATACAAGTTTCAAAAATAATTGCACAATACATAATTGTAAATACAATTTTATATATTACATATTTTTAATAATTACACTTTCAAATATAGGAGTTACATATCACATGTCAAGATTTACATATAGTTTTGATATTTTTACTCCCTTTTCATGTAAAAGCCAAGGCCTGTGAGACAGCCCAGTGGATAAAAGCATTTGCTGCACAAGCCTAAAAATCTGAGTGAGAATCTACACAACTCACGGTGCAAAGAGAAACCCGACTCTTAAACACTGTCCTCTGAAGCCCATATATGAAATAAAATAAATAGTGTAAAAGGCAAAGATCGATATAAAATATAACAGCTGTGTCATTGGTGGATTAAAAATTTACCATCTAATTGGAGATGGAATTTTTTTTCAGTGATTAAGAGCACTGCCTGCTTCTGCAGAAGACCCTGGTTCGATTCCCAGCAGCCACATGGTGGCTAAGCTCCATCCATAACTCCAGTTCCAGGTGATCCAATGTCCTGTTCTTTCCTTCACCGGTACTGAATGACACAGGTACTCTTACACAACTGAGGCAATACCCTTATACAAATAAGTAAAAATAATAAATAAAACACATTTTTTGATTAAAGAATTTACCATCTAATAATGTAGACCTACATATAGGATACAGATAAATTATGAGAAATTTATAGTATTTAAATGTCTATGCTGAGGACTACAAATTATAAAAATAATTTTGTTATTTTAAAAATTGTAATTGCTGTTACTAATTTCTAATTTTATATTTGGCATTGTCATGAGAAAATTTAATGTACTATCTAAGTAATAGTCCTAAGGTAATTTTGGTATAAATATATTCAGAGTCAAGATATTTGATATGTGAGGAGTTCCTTACCATACCTTCCTGTCAATTGTACTCGAAGCAGAAATCAAAAGGGAACTCTGTACTTTACTATGTATCTGTAGGAACAGAATCTTTCTTCAAAATACTCTAAATTTTCTTGGTATGAGTTTTCTTCTTTCAACTTCCTGAATACTCTATTCCTGTCAGCCATGCTGGTATATACCTAGAATACCAGCACTCAGGAGGGGGAGGTGGGAAGATTGAGAGCTATGGGACAGTCTGGCTGCATAGTGAGTTTGCAGCCAGCCTAGGCTACTATCGTAGAACCTGTCTCAAGGAAAGAAAGAAGCAAAAAGACTTGTTTTAGTTCCCCAGTCTCTGGCTATCAGCATATCATGTTATTAGAGGTTCTTTGTGAACTAGCTGAATTGTTTCCTTGACTTTGTAGATTGAACGTATAAATGAAATTTGTCTCATTTTAAATAGCTGTATACAGGCTGGCATGGAATCCTAAACTCAGACATTTTCAAGTTTCCAAAAGACAATGGACTACATACAGGCAGTGATCCTTACCTACTTTCAGGACCTACTTTAAAATGAACCTAGAAAAGATACTAATATTTAAAGGTTTCAGTTCATCTATAGTGTTAATTTCATGACATAAAATTATTGAAAACATAATGAAATTTTGTTTAATGTTTGGGAACATTGGAAAGATTTTCATTTTAGATTTCTGAGTTTATTTTGTCTGCTTCTCAATAAAATTTGGTGTGTGTGAATGTGTGTATAAGGATGGAAAACTGTTTTAGCATGTTTATGAACAATACTCTGACACTTTAAGAAATGTTTGCATGCAGTGTTTGAAAGAATACAATTGTACAGTATCCACATCAAATACTGATTTGGTTCAAAATACTACAATTTTAGAGCTATCTGGGTGGTACATACCTGTGATCTTAGCAGTAGGAGGTTGATGGTAGGTGGATCAGAAGCTTGAGGCCAGACTGGAATACACAGTAAGTCTAAAACCAGACATAACTACATTGTGAGATCACATCTCAATAATTTCAAAAATTACAGCAACAAAGTGATGCTTAAAAAGTTTAAGATAAAAAAATCTGGGGGCTGGAGAGATGGCACAGCAGTTAAGAGCATTTGCAGCTCTTCCAGAGGACCCAAGATTGGTTCCCAGGACCCACATCAGGCAGCTCCCTACTGCTTTTAACTCATAGTTTTAGGGGATCAAACTCCCTCTTCTGATCTCCAAGGGCACTGCACACATGTGGCATACACACATACACATACATAATTGATAATAATAATTGTTATTATAGTAAGAGTAACAAAAGATCTCCTGTTGGAATCCATACTAAGAACTTCACAAAGTTTTGACTTTATTTCAAATATCCATTACTTACAGTTTTATTTCTATCAAGATAAATAAATTCCAAGGAAAACTGTTAACTCACTTTTCATATATAATGGACTCAACTAACTTTTCACAACTGATATTTCATGAGATTAATCATGTTAATTTTTGTCTGGACACTAAGCAACTCATTTCAAACCAATTAGAATAAGGAAGATTACTACAGAGTGTACAAACAAATGTTGATACTTCTGGTTGACACAAGGGGATGTCTAAACCTCAGTTACTT